ACGTCTCGTTGATCTTAAGGCAGCCCAAGCAACATCTCCCCCGATCATTCTTCCTCCTGGAGAAATGACGCTTCCCTTGTCTAAGATCGTGCCAGGATCTATTTCCGTCTGGTCCGTCGCAGTTGAATTTTTTCTCATCAGAAAACACGACCTGGAGAAAAAACTGAAAAGACAAGACAGACAAGCAGTAGGGCACCGCTGCCATAAGCTAACCTTACTCCAATCGGTTCGGCAACATCTCCTAGCAAAGTCGATTCGGTTTTCACGATGCCTTTCTGTCAGAAACGGTGCCTTCCTCATTTTCCTTCTGAGAATGAACTCGGACTTTCTCAAGACACGCCGAACAGTCTCCTTCGAGACGTTGAGCTTCAAAGTTGACTTTATTTCCGGGCACGACATTGTAGAATTTGATGCTTCTCTCAAAATACGGCGCTTATCTCGATCAGAGAGCAAAGTAAGCAAAGTAAGACGCTCAGAGGAGCTCCTCTAAAATCCATATCCTGCGGGATGCTTGACAAAATTATTGATTACATGATGAGTGCAGCCCAAATCCCATGCGAATTGACGGTTCGACAGACATTGCAATTAGCGGTCCTTTCAGAGTACGATAAAAAATAATCCCTTGACATAGCCTAGAAAAGGCAATGAGCCACAGTGGTGAGACAGTTTTACCCAACAAAAATTAGTCGCAGCGAGAAAACATTAAGTGGAACTATCACTTTGTGAAAATTTCAAAGTGGCCACTTTTCTAAGAAAACGAAGAAAAAAAACACTGTTTTTTCAAGTTAGTTTTTGGTGTACATGCGAACTAGTATTGGTCATTACCACATTTTCTGTATGGGGACGATTCTGAAAACGTCATCTAAGACGGGATTTTGTAAGATTTATGGGTGGAACTATCATAATGTGGAGCAGTGTAGTTCAGTCTCCGTTTCACAGGGGCTCAAGACGGAGATTAAGAGATAGATAGACTAAGAGAGAAGAGATACTTGGATATCCTTTATTTGTGCTTTCAGTAAGGATGTGAAGGATTATTGAGTCGCATCGTTGTGAATCGACTGAACTAAGTTTTTATATAAATATTTATTTTAATTTCATAGTAAAGACGATAACTTCTGTGATAGTTTCTAGAGGCGTTTGATTATGTTCTTATCGAAGTAATATATAGAATTGTATTGAAACACTTAAAAAGTGGCTTTTGAGATTTCAACAAGTATAGTGAAACAACTTACAAGGGAAGGATGGTAGGTCGAAGTGGCCATTTGAAATGAAATGTATACCGGCTGAAAGGTCTTCGGACGGGGATTACGAAACCGTCTTCCATATCTGCTGCGGACCTCCCAGAAAGAAGTTACGGAGCTTTTTAGGGGGAGAATATTCGCATTCAGTACGAATAGGCGGCGTAAGGCTGATGAGATCGTGGCAGCATGGCCGAGTGGATACGTCGTAGGGCTCACGGATGCGTGGTCGAGGGTTTGGATCCTTGATGCGTGTGCTCTTTTGCATTTTTTCGAAAGTGGTCCCTGTGCACTTCAAAGCTATTTTGCATAACTCTTGTGCCTGATAATGTCGTGACGTAATGTTTCTGAAGTAATGGAGCCATTGCGAACGATTCCATGGAGAACATTTTCTGGCTGTTGACTTCTTCTTTCTTGATTTGAAAAGCATACACAACAAAAGTGCATTCCAAAGGAATGATTTTGCCTTAAATGACTTTATTCTCCAAACGACATGACTGGAAAACGAATCCGAACGCACGAAGTTGTGCACGAAGATGAGTATAGTGGGAAAATGCTTTCATATGAAGTGGCGTTGATGTGGCAATCATGCTGGAGATCGCGATGGGCAAAACCTTCATTCATCACTCACATAGTGTTGAATGATGTCTATCCAAAGTGGTTTCGCACCTGCTGGAAGTTTTCGGCTCGTATGACAATCTCTTCAGCCAGAAGTGATCTCTATGAAATCGTTCGCAATGGCTCCATCAGTTCAGGAACACTACGTCACGACATTATCAGGCACAAGAGTTATGCAAAATAGCTTTGAAGTGCACAGAGACCACTTTCGAAAAAATGCAAAAAAGCACACGCATCAAGGATTCAAACCCTCCGCCACCCAATCGTGATCTCTAGATCTCTACAACGTATCCACTTGGCCATGCTGCCACGATCTCATTAGCCTTACGCCGCCAATTCGTAGTGTATTCTCCCCTAAAAAGCTCCGTAACTTCTTTCTGGGAGGTCCGCAGCAGATATGGAAGACGGTTTCGTAATTCCCGTCCGAAGACCTTTCAGCCGGTATACATTTCATTTCAAATGGCCACTTCGACCTACCATCCTTCCCTTGTTAGCAGTGCTTGATTTTCTTCGTATAATCACAACAACCTAATTAAATACTGTGTGGCGGAATAACCAAGCTTAACTCGACCATTACTCAACATGTTTCAGCAAGTAAAGCAACAAACGAACAGAATGAAACACAGCTCGCAAGCACACAGCAACGTGTCGACGCCACGTGGACCCACGTCGGCAAGCACGCTCACTCGCTATCCAAGTACCTTTTTTGTTGTACGGTTGCATCATGCAGAACAGCATGATGACATCCTTTTTTGGTCTGGAGATCCTTTTATTAGGAGTTTCGCGATAAGTTTTTCTTTTCGGTCGTTTTGTATTTTCAGCCTAGTCTTCACATATGTGTTTATCTTTCATTTGGTTCATCTTCTTTTCTAGTTCTATTTCATAGGAATGGTGATTGAGTGTTCATTTTTCTAAAATAGATCCCAGATCTCACTTTGTATCAATATTCTATAAGGAGGCTTCTGATTGAATGTTTTATTTATAAAGCAATAGGGATATTACGCTAGTGATAAGGGTGTTAATAACGTAGCCTGGATCTACTAGTTGTTTTCTTACATTTTCAGTCCATTTGTAAAGCATACTTTAACGAACACGTCGCTCCCCTAGATTTCTGAGTGTGTTGTCCCACATTTCATGTGCTGTTCAATATATTTTTTTGTAATTTGGAAAACTTTGGTAGACTGGCAATATCAGTTTTGTTGCGAGCGGCAAATACGCCGACTTTCCCATTAGACGCCTGTTGGGAGACGGCATGCAGGGCACTTTCTTCCAATCAAAGATTGAGCTAAAATTAACTCGAAGAAGCTACACGTTTCTTCCCCAGGCTGTTTACAAGAGCGCCAAACAGGAGATGATGGATGAGCTGGGAATCGAAATCTTGATTCAAAGCCACCTCCGGTAGCTGCACTTACTCTCTTATTCCATGTGGAATTTGTTAGGCATCTTTTTAGCTCTATCACTTTAGTGTTACTATCTCCGTGCAACTAATACTCGAGCACGCCCCGATGAGTTGTTCAAAACTCTTCTTAAATGTCTCCGGCCGTACTGCTCAAGTGCATTTTTCTGGGGAGGATCACTGGAGAAGTATCTCTTGAAGAAAGGGCGCTTCGAAGAGTTCTCGTCATCTCTGGTACGAAATTGATTTGATTGATGGAGTCATCTCTTCGCTCCTGACTCGAGCGTCTTAAGCACTATTTTCAGATCATACAGCAGACGGCGAGCGCCCTCGAGTATTGCCACAGCAAGAGAATTGTCCACCGGGATGTGAAGCCGGCGAACATCCTGGTCACCGGCAATGGTGTTGTAAAGCTAGCCGATTTCGGCATAAGCGACAAGGTATTTCCCGGCACGTACGTTTTTCTCCTTCAGTCAGAGTGCAAATAATTTCAAAGTAGACTAAACAAGCGGCCGAAATTCATACGATTGCTGGCACATCAGCAAACGAACCGCGAAAAGCAAACGAACAGCAAACGAATTTGCTACCTCAGCAGGAACTGTAGCGTCTTTTACCATTCGTACAAGCTGCTTTCAGAGCAGCGTCAGCACTGTGGGAAGAGGTGGGTGGGCCATTATGAGCAGCACCAGTTCCAGTCTGATAACTGCTGCAGGACAAGCGTGCACGTGCGTTTGCTGATGTTCTTCTTTGATTTATTGATGCAACACCCCTACGTTTCTTATTGCGCTGTACTGCAGGTCGCCCTCGGACTTCGAACTCAAGCGCGTGCTCGGAAACGGTGCAATGAGCACCGTCTTCCGAGCAATAACAGGCGCACAGGAGAGCCTGTTGCCATCAAGGTAAGCACCAAGAACAATATAATCTCGAACTGGACGAGAGCCAGCAGGGATGAGCGACATTTCTTCTCGGAATTAACTCAGAGGAGCTACACGTTATCTTCATTATCTTCCAGGATGTGCAAGAAGCCCGAGGACGACGACAAGTTGGCAATGCTCGAAATGGAGGTCATGATCCATGCGGAGCTGAGGTATTGCACTTACCTCCCTATTACTGAGGGACCTCGCTAGCTTATCTTTAAATGCTCTAATCTTGCGAGTTCCTATATGTTTTACTGCGCGATTCTTCACAGGCACATCTGTCAGATTTCGGGACGGTGAACTGAAGAAACGACGTGTTTTTTTCCTGCTTCAAGTGCTACGATGGAAAGCGGAGTCGCGGCGAGCGCTGCAGATCCTGTTTCCGTTTCTTGTTGAGGCCCTCCTTCAGTGTATAGTTTTGCAAGTTCTACGCCAATGAGTATGTAGCTGCCGCTGGCTCTGCGAATATTCAGCGAATCAACTCGGCTGTGTCAAAGATAGGCGCAGTTTGATGACCTAGGTGGTCTCCCCTTACTCTTCTTATGGTTAGAGAAACTGTGATTGAGCTGAACAGGTCATTTATATTGCTCGCCGTTTTCGATAGCGACATCTTTCGAAAGTCAGTTGAAGAAGAAGAAGAAGAAGAAGAAGAAGAAGAAGAAGAAGAAGAAGAAGAAGAAGAAGAAGAAGAAGAAGAAGAAGAAGAAGAAGAAGAAGAAGAGAAGAAAGAAGAAGAAGAAGAGAAGAAGAGAAGAAAGAAGAAAGAAGAAGAAGAAGAAGAAGAAGAAGAAGAAGAAGAAGAAGAAGAAGAAGAAGAAGAAGAAGAAGAAGAAGAAGAAGAAGAAGAAGAAGAAGAAGAAGAAGAAGAAGAAGAAGAAGAAGAAGAAGAAGAAGAAGAAGAAGAAGAAGAAGAAGAAGAAGAAGAAGAAGAAGAAGAAGAAGAAGAAGAAGAAGAAGAAGAAGAAAAGAAGAAGAGAAGAAGAAGAAGAAGAAGAAGAAGAAGAAGAAGAAGAAGAAGAAGAAGAAGAAGAAGAAGAAGAAGAAGAAGAAGAAGAAGAAGAGAAGAAGCGTAATGC